TTTATTCCTAAGTATTTTAGTTTTTTAAGGGTGATCATAAATGGTATTGTTTTCCTGATTTCATTTTCATCGTTCTCTTTGTTGGTGTATAGGAATCCAACTGATTTTTGTATGTTTATCTTGTATCCTGCCACTCTGCTGTACCTTTCTATTAGTTCTAGTAGTTTCTCGTGGGGTCTTTAGGGTTTTCTATGTATAGTATCATATCATCTGCAAACAGGGACAGTTTAACTTCTTCATTACCTATTTGGGTGCCCTTTATTTCCTCTTCTTGCCTTATTGCTCTAGCTAGAACTTCCAGCACAATGTTAAATAGGAGTGGTGATAGAGGGCATCCTTGTCTTGTTCTTGTTCTCAAGGGGAATGTTTTCAGCCTCTCTCCATTAAGAATGATGTTGTCTGTTGGTTTTGCATAGATGTCCTTTATTATGTTGACAAATGTCCCTTCTATACCTATTTTATTGAGAGTTTTTATCAGGAATCGGTGTTGGACTTTGTCAAATGCCTTTTCTGTGTCAGTTGAGATGATCGTGTGATTCTTTTCTTTCCTTTTATTTATGTGGTGGATTACATTGATCGATTTTCTAATGTTGAACCGTCCTTGCATACCTGGTATGAATCCTACTTGGTCGTGGTGTATTATATTTTTGATATGATGCCGAATTCTATTGGCTAGAATTTTGTTGAGAATTTTTGCATCTATATTCATGAGAGATATTGGTCTGTAATTTTCTTTTTTTGTGGTGTCTTTGCCTGGTTTTGGTATCAGGGTTATGTTGGCTTCATAGAATGAACTCGGAAGTGTTGCTTCCTTTTCTATGTTCTGAAATAGTTTGAGTAGTACTGGTACAAGGTCTTCTTTGAATGTTTGGTAGAATTCTCCAGTGAAGCCATCTGGGCTAGGACTTTTTTTTTTTGTTAGGAATTTTTAAATTTCTTTTTCAATCTCTTCTCGTTACGGGTCTGTTCAGATTTTCAACATCACTTCGTTGTAGTTTGGGTAGGTGGTGTGTTTCTAGAAATTTATCCATTTCCTCCAGGTTTTCAAATTTGTCGGAGTATAGTTTTTCATAATACTCTGTTATGAGTCTTTTTATTGCAGTTGGGTTTGCTGTAATGTCCCCCATTTCATTTGTTGTTTGGGTTATCTGCATCGTCTCCTGTTTTTCTTTTGTCAGTCTGGCCAGTGCTTTGTCGATTTTGTTGATTCTTTCTGTTGTTTTTCTATTCTCTATTTCATATATTTCTGCTCTGATCTTTATTATTTCCTTTCTTCTGGTGGCTGTGGGCTTTTTTTTTTTTTTTTTTTTTTTTTTTTTTTTTGCTGTTCTGTTTCTATTTGTTTGAGTTGTGTAATTAATGTTTTGATTTTGTCCCTTTCTTCTTTTTTGATATGTGCATCTATTGCTATAAAGTGTCCTCTAAGGACTGCCTTTGCTGTGCCCCAAAGGTTTGGTATGATGTGTTCTCATTCTCATTTGAGTCTAGGAATTTTTTTATTCCATCTCTGATTTCTTCTATTACCCAGTGGTTTGTAAGCAGGGTATTATTCAGTTTCCATGTAATTGATTTTTTTTCCTTGCTCTTTCTGTTGTTAATTTCTACCTTTCAGAAAAGATACTCTGTATTATCTCAACCTTTTGGATCTTGTTGAGGATTGCTCTGTGGCCTAAGATGTGGTCTATTCTGGAGAACGTTCCATGTGCATTAGAAAAGAATGTGTACTTTGCAGCTGTAGGGTGGAGTTTTCTATATATGTCTATGAGGTCAAGTTGGCTGATTGTGCCCTTTTGGTCTCCTGTATCTTTGCTGGGTTTCTTTTTAGATGTTCTTAGACAGACTTTTTTATGCTTATGAGGTCAGTGTACAGCCCCAGGCGCTGTGACAGCTCACACAAACTACCCCAGGCCAAAAAGGTGAGCTAGCAGACCGGTGACAGCCCCCTGGACCTGGCTCCTCCAGCTGCCTCCTGTCTCTTCTCTAGCTTGCAGACTCCCGACCAGGTGAGTGCAGCTCCATGGCAAAGGTTGCCAGCCTCTCCTGCAGGTCACCCACAGCATTGACAGCAGAGATGGATGCATGTTCCTGTTTGTTCTTAGGGATTCCAGTTCATCCTCACTCTCCCCACTTCAAGTCTGGCTTTTCTCTGTGACTGCTGGTGGGGCTGATCTATAGTGACTTCAGGCCCAACATCAGAGGGCATTGCCTTGTAGAGACTCCTTCCCTAGCTCCCACAATTGTGGAAGGTTTAATCCCTAGGAGAAATCCTTTTTCTACGTTATTCTCTGTGGTTCTGCTTTGCAGATCCAACTCCAACTCATATAGGTGGTTGTAGATTAGATTATCTGCTATCCTCAGCGTGTTGGCTTGGTCTTGAAATTTTCCCCTCATAGATGCAAGAGGACTGCAGCAGTTCTGAGCATCAGCTTCTCATACAATGTCTCGTGTCCTTTTTAAATCAAGAAACATTTTCCCAGAAGCGCTCTGGAATACTTTTCTTCCTATCTGTGACCCTAATACTCCCCAGCATGTTTTCTCCTTTTCAAAATGGGTGACTAAGATCTTGACATAACTAATGCCATGATGAACCTATAAGTTTTTTTTTTTCTTCCTTGCCTTCTCCCTTTTCACATACCTTTGTTAATGGCTTTGTTTTGTGACAGAAGACCCCCCACAGGAAGATTAGAGCCCAGATGTCAGATAAGGAAATGTCCAGCAAGTGTCTCTTTAATATGATAAACAGTCTTTTGTAATTAATTTACAATGTATAACAACACATCTAACCTTTGTTAAAAATCATATATAAACTCTGATGTAAAAATGCCTTTTGTGACTCCATAGAGACAGCCTGTGTTGCTGTTGGATCCCCGGTGCTGTACACTTCCTAAATTAAAACTTTCTCACCCTTTCTGACTTGGAGTATGTTTCATTGGCTCAACAGCTCCAGGGCATGGACCCTATTCGGGTAACATATCCTATTGGCCATCTATCTTCATGTGTCTTTGACAAACCAATCTTGTGGCAAGCGGAATGCAATCACCAGAGTTGGTTCAGACAGATAAAGGCTGATAGCCCTGAAAGACAAGATTACTCCAAGCAGGGTGAACCAAAATGGAGTTCTGCACTTGAGGATGGGGGGGCGGGGTGGTTGCATAGTCACTGGACTACCAAGGGTGTCTACCATGCTGTGTCTAAAGCATTGGGCTTCCTTTTCTCATCAATCTTAACCCAAAGAGAGAACATTTAACATGGACCTTTCCTAAAATTCTTGTCCCCCACAAGAATAAAAAAAAAACTTCCCTAAAAATAAGTTGGAAATTATCCTTTAATAAGCCAATATTTATATCCAAGAAACATCTCTATTTTCTCAACTTTTGTTTTAGAGATTTGCTACTGGCAGATTACTGATTCTGAAATCTGAGAGCTATTGTTTCTCCATACCCCCCATGCACATTCAGTAAAGTCAGAGTATTAACAAACTTCAGCTTGGGGACCTAAATCCAGTTTTGTGGTTTATTTTGAAAATTAGGTTCCCTCACTTGGGCACAGTTATGAAGGGACCAAAATTACTAGGAGGAAGAAATGTCAGACACTTGAACATTAACTCGATGTTGTTTTTCTTTACTATGGAGTCCTTAGTACATTCTTTGTCATTCATGAAGACGTGTTACAACATCGTAGAAAATGTTGCTACAGTTAAAGTCAACAAAACTATGTACAAGGTAAGGGATTGTGAAACTGAGGCCAGAGGATGGATCAGAGAAAACTGCACCAGGTGGTATTATTCTTTGGTGGAATCACTACAGTTCAGAGTTTGTTTTCTCCTGTATACTATGCATCAAAAATTTGATTGGCTAAGTCAGTCACAAAAAGCCAGGTACACTAACAAATTTATAGGCTTAACAACAGTAGACTTTCTCTTTCTTATGAACTGATGATTAAAATTAAGAAGAGAGCATCAAGTCAACTGGGCTTTCCATTCTATCTTTGCATAAAAATCTGCATGGAAACCTAAATTTACTAGAAGGTTGACTTAGAACAAGCCAGAGACTTAATTAAATTATCTTCATGGCTAGGGTCACTCAGCTAGGCATATGTTCTGGCAGATACAACCCAAATGCAGAGATGCAGAGCAGGCTGAATCACCAAGTTATAGGACCATTTGCCCTAGGAAGTCTTGGAGATGCTGACATTCTTGCTCTTTGGGGTCCCTAAGACTCCCTACTAAATCTTGCTGATTAAGCTGGTATTATTATTCATATAAAACTAACATGCAATACCTTATAAAATTAACAAGGCTTCTATTTCCAAGTCCTGGTATTTCACCTTCTCACTAAGGTGACTTCTGCTCCTACCTGCTGTCTCCCCATCATCAGTTGATCAGTGTTTGAATCAGCTCTTAGCATACATCACTTTCGACTTCTTGGTGGTAACCTCACTCTAGCCTTCTGTGCAGACTACAACAGGAATGGAAGTGAGAATGACAGTTCTTTTCTTCCTTGAATTGGAGTCCTTAGCTTAGACGTTTGTAATTTTGATGGAGCTGGGGTTGTGAGTGAATGGTACTGAGGTCTCCAAGTGTGACTATAGCAGAGATACTGGAAAACAGGATGGTTACAAGTCTTTGGAGTGGTACAGTTATCAGGTCTTGAAAGCCATTGTCTGGGATAGTAGTGAAGAAAGGGGAGATGAAGTCATTGGATATTAAGAGTGCTTCTCATGTGTCGTCATACTTCTGTCTCCATTTCCTTCACTGACCGGGCATCTGAAAGAAGCTAGAAACAAGAAAAACTGACTCTAAATGTCTGTTGTCTAAGACAGAGTGTCTTAAGTATTTAGTGATGCTAGCATTTTTGGGGAGGGGAGCTTTAAGCTATTGCTTGCATCTGTAATCAAAGGTCCCTGACACAGCTATGAAATAAGTAGTTATGAAGTCTGGGTCTTAACAATTTTAATATCCCTGCCAGATCTTCCTGAGTTAGTGTAAAAATAAGTTTTACCTTACGCTTTGCCTTTATTCATATTTTGGTTAATAGAACTCACAAATGATAAAAGCTAAGGCAGCAAAAGAGAAGTGTACAATCAGACAATAACTTGTAAACTGAATTATCAGTCTCCAAGGAATCAAAAGGTGACTGTAAAAGTATGGAAAGCCAGTATATCTGAGCCTAGGCAGAAATTGTAGTCTGCTTTGCTCTATTTTATCTTTGTCTGTGTCTGTTTCCACTTCCATACAATCCCGTGTTTCCATCTAGAATAAGTATATTGGAGCAGCTTCATATGCATTATGCCATTTGAGATCTTCTCAACAAATAAAAATAGGAGACGAGAAGAAGCAAGTAGACTCTCTTTAATTACAGACATTGGAAAAGATCTAATTGTATTTTTTCCTTGTATACTATTCTGCAATCTTTCTGTATTTTTTTCCTCTCTATAAAAGATTTTTATGACGATATGTGAATCAGTCAAAACTTTTTTGACAGCCACTTTCTTGTACTACAAACGGTTTGATAAAGGAAATGCCTTACCATGTTTTCTTTTGCATTACCAGAATGTTCATCAGGAGAAATAGGATTATAACTTTCTACAGGATAAAAAGAGAAGAAACTTTAAAACAAAATCTCTTTACAAACACTCAAGTTCTCCCTTCTCCTAGTTCAGTATGATTATGTGAGTAGAATCACCTTAGTCGCTTCCTCTTTCATGTCCTTCTTCCCACAAACAGCATTACAAATGCACTTATTGTAGAAACATATCAGAAGCACTAGCAGGAAATTCTTATGGCTGATTCAGGTGCTCCAAAGGGGAATCAAGACAGTTCAACCAGCACAGCAATTCCTGGCTCTTTACCAACTGCTAATAATGAAAAAGCAATGGCCAAGGAGCCAATGAGAGTAGTGGTTAAGGAATAAGCAATGCTACGTTGTTTCTCAAGAAAGGCCTTCCTTCTGGGCCTTGCTAAAATTTGATCATTTTATACATCTCCTAAGCTAAGAACATTTTAAAACAGAGTAATAGAAAAGAGAATTAAAAAACAAAACACATGAACCATATAGCCATATGAAACTACTAGCAGGGAACTGAAGGTAGGGAAGGTTTTTTGGCTTTTAGTAAAACAGCTTCATCTATATTTTATGGCTACCTAACCCCAGACATAGACCTTTTTTTTTTTTTTTTTAAAGTGGGCAATACTGTAACATTATTTTTGCCGGTATCCTCTGATCCTACTGAACTAAGTTTCATCTGGCTCTTTGCCATGGAAGGCTCACCTAGATGGGTTCCATTATCAGGCTGTCTGTTCCTTTTGGGACCTAGGTGGGTGGGAGATCAGAGGGAGGGAAGACAGAGAACAGGAGTCATTCCCCCAGCTCCTGCCCTATAAGGTCACCTTGGCTGGCTAGGGTCCCTTACCAGTGGCATCACTAGAGGAGTACAGGAGGTGCTGACCATACAGGGTAACACTATAAGAGAGGGTGACACCAAAAATGCTGCCTATAAAATTTTTGTGCAATGTCTCACCAAATCTATTATTTTTTATAAAAATGTCCCTGTAGTTAGTTATACCCCACATGTGTATCAGTTTTTCGTACTGTTGTGGCTTGCATGTTGCTGTGATGCTGCAAGCTATGCCACTGGTATTTCAAATACCAGCAGGGTGATACATGGTGGACAGGTATCAGCTGAGCTTCCAGACTAAGACAGACTAGGAAGAAGGACATGCCAGTCTATTTCTGAAAAAAAAATTGGCCAGTGAAAACTTATGAATAGCAGAGGAATGTTGTCTGTTATAGTGTTGGAAGATGAGCCCCTCAGGTTGGAAGACACTCAAAATACGACTGGGGAAGAGCTGCCTCCTCAAAGTAGAGTTGACCTTAATGATGTGGATGGAGTAAATCTTTCAAGACCTTCATTTGCTGATGTGGCAGGACTCAAATTGAGAATAAACAGCAGCAAACATCCATTAATAATCAGAACAGGGAATGTACAAAATATGAATCTAGGAAATTTGGAAGTTGTCAAAAATTAAATGCACCACATAAAGATTGATATTCTAGGCATTAGCTGAAATGGACTGGTATTGGCCATTTTGAATCAGACAATCATATGGTCTACTATGCTGGGAATAACAAATTGAAGAAGAATACCATCACATTCATCATCAAAAATAACATTTCAAGATCTATCCTGATGTACAGTGCTGTCACTGATAGGATAATATCCATACACCTACAAGGAAGACCAGTTAATATAACTGTTATTCAAATTTATGCACCAACCACTAAAGATAAGGAAATTGAAGATTTTTACCAGCTTCTGCAGTCTAAAGTTGATCAAACATGCAATCAAGATGCATTGATAATCACTGGTGATTAGAATGTGAAAGGTGGAAATGAAGGATCAGTAGTTGGAAAACATGGCCTTGGTGATAGAAACAACATCAAAAATCGTATGATAGAATTTTGCAAGACCAATGACTTCTTCATTGCAAATACCTTTTTTCAATAACATAAACGATGACTATACACATGGAACTTGCCAGATGGAATGCACAGGAATCAAATCAACTATATCATAGAAAGAGACAATAGAGAAACTCAATATCATCAGTCAGAATAAGCCCAGGGACCAACTGCGGAACAGACCATCAATTGCTCATATTCAAGTTGAAGCTGAAGAAAATTAAAGCAAGTCCACGAGAGCCAAAATATGACCTTGAGTATATCCTACCTGAATTTAGAGACAATCTCAAGAATAGATTTGATGCATTGAACACGAATGACTGAAGACCAGATGAGTTGTGGAATGACATCAGGGATATCATACATGAAGAAAGCAAAAGGTCATTAAAAAGACAGGAAAGATGAAAATGGATGTCAGAAGAGACTCTGAAACTTTCTCTTGAATGTAGAGTAGCTAAAGTGAACAGATGAAATGATGAAGTAAAACAGCTGAACAGTAGATTTCAAAGGGCGGCTCGAGAACACAAAGTAAAGTATTATAATGAAATGTGCAAAGCCTGGGACTTAGAAAACCAAAAACAAAGAACACGCTCGGCATTTCTCAAACTGAAAGAACTGAAGAAAAAATTCAAGCCTTGAGTTGCAATGCTGAAAGATTCTTCAGAGAAAATATTGAACGACATGGGAAGCATCAAAAGAAGATGGAAGGAATACCCAGAGTTACTGTACCAAAAAGAATTGGTCGATGTTCAACCATTTCAGAAGGTAGCATATGATCAAGAGCTGATGGTACTTAAGGAATAAGTCCAAGCTGCACTGAAGGCACTGGCGAAAAACAAGGCTTCAGGAATTGACGGAATACCAATTGAGATGTTTCAACAAATGGATTCAGTGCTGGAGGTGCTCACTCGTCTATGTCAAATAATTTGGAAGACAGCTTCCTGGCCAACCAACTGGAAGAGATCCATATTTGTGCCCATTCCAAAGAAAGGTGATCCAACAGAATGCAGAAATTATCGAACAACATCATTAATATCACACACAAGTAAAATTTTGCTGCAGAATTATTCAAAAATGGTTGCAGCAGTACATCGACAGGGAAGTGCCAGAAGTCCAAGCTGGATTCAGAAGAGGACCTGGAACGAGGAATATCATTGCTGATATCAGATGGACCCTGGCTGAAAGCAGAGAATACCAGAAAGATGTTTACCTGTGTTTTATTGTCTACACAAAGGCATTCGACTGTGTGGATCATAATAAATTTTGGATAACATTGCGAAGAATGGGAATTCCAGAATACTTAATTGTACTCATGAAGAATTTGTACATAGACCAAGAAGCAGTTGCTGGAACAGAGCAAGGGGATACTGCGTGGTTGTATCCTTTCACAATATTTATTCAATCGGTATGCTGAGCAAATAATCCGAGAAGCTGGACTATATAAAGAAGAACACAGCATCAAGATTGAAGGAAGACACATTAAAGACCTGTGATATACAGATTACACAACCTTGCTTGCTGAAAGTGAAGAGAACTTGAAGCACTTACTGATGAAATCAAAGACTACAGCCTTCAGTGTACATTGCACCTCAATATAAAACAAAAATCCTCACAACTGGACCAGTAAACAACATCATGATAAATGGAGAAAACATTGCAGTTGTTAAGGATTTCATTTTGCTCGGATCCAAATCAACGCCCATGGAAGCAGCAGTCAAGAAACCAAATGATGTAGCACATTGGGCAAATCTGCTGCAAAAGACCTCTTTAAAGTGTTGTAAAACAAGGATGTCACTTTGAGGACTAAGGTGCACCTGACCCAAGCCATGGTGTTTTCAATTGTCTCATATGCATGTGAAAGCTGGACAATAAAAAGAGGAAGACCCTCAACGAGATGGATTGACATAGTGGCTGCAACAATGAGCTCAAACATAAAAAAGATTGTGTGATGGTACTGGACTTGGCGGTTTCTTTCTGTTGTACATAGGGTTGCTGTGAGTCGGAACCAACTCGATGGCACCTAACAATAACAAGAATTAGGTATAGTAACAAAAACATTTTTCATAAGCCCAGGTTACATGTATCAATATTACTACAAGGCTAAAACTCTATGCTAATTTACTTTTTGAACTGTCTAATGTGTTCCTTTCAGAGCTGTCATTATTACCCAATTATAATGACACTTCAGATCACATGGTTTCAACTGCATGCACTACAAGCATACACTGTTGTTTTCGTTGATGCCGGTGTTTTTATAGTTGCTGTTTTTGTCAGATTTTCTGGTGTTTTAGCTGCAATATTGTAGTAAGTAGTATTTGTGAACCTATATCAATAACTTTTTTAAGAATGAAGTAGTAATTAAAGGAAAAGGAGAAAAATCAAAATGTAAATAATTTAGTCCATGTGTCTGATATTGTAATATAAAGGTGTAATTTTAATTTTGCAAGTTGTTTATGTCACTACTATTGCCATTACATTCAGTGATATACATGAATTACAATTTGCAAGTAACATTAGTACAAAAAGCATTACTAAGGATTCTGTGTGGTCTGGTATAGGAGGAGATGCATGGGGGGTGACACCAACTCTAGTGATGACACTGTCCTTGACTAAAGGTCATTGTTCCTTACAAGGCAGCTGACATTGCATGACTTTATCCTTTCAGGTTTTGAGAACTGTTCCCTCTCTTTTTCCCTTCAGGTCTAGGTTGGATAAGGAATCAGGTGTTGCTTCTGTGGGAAAATGCACTAACATTTGCATTCCCCTTTGTATAGTTTTTAGTGTGCCACGTGTTGTTAGGACCTGACTTATGCATACTTTCGATACAGAAACTAAGCAATCATTCCTGAGCAAAATGCAATGACCTCTCTCTTATAATTTGAACCTAATCCAATCACAAGTATCATTATATTAGGCCACAGGTTGCAACCCAAACAAGCTAGAATGCCTATGACTTACCAATCATTCCTTTCTACTTCTAGTCAGAGAAGGAACAGGAGTAAACCAGTAAAGGGACTATCCTGCCTACTAGTACAAATAATCATAGGGCTAGAATTGGTGAAGCTCTCGTTATCACCTTTAAAACATTTTCTTTAATAGTGGTTTCTACTGTGACCAAATCCCC